GTATTTGACATCATGATCTTAGGGAAAAAAGGAAAAATCTGAACTGCTTACAATGTAGTTTTTTAAGTTGAATGATGTCTCATATAAAACTATGAGCTGCTGAAATTGAAGTCCAGGCACTCGAGCTGCAGCTGCCTTCTCCTTGAGCGGCCCCACGCCAACGAGTGTTGGCTGGAGGGCGCCACACTCGTGTGCTCCCCTGACGAGCATCTTCTGGGGCAGTGAGCCAGGAGGACCTCTGGGACGCCCTCCGTGAGCTCACATCCCTTCTGACAATGCGTTGCGGCAGGCAGTTCCTCTCCATCGGTCATCATCGATATCCCTGTTTCGTTTTCTGTCCTTGTCACCAGAACCGCGCCGCGGGTCTGGATGACACACTGTCTTTCTGGCCTGGGCTCTGATGAGCACTGTAAATGACAGTGTCAGGAGGCTCCTTCTGGGGAAGCTGCTTCTACAGTTTCCAGGAAAAACAGGGGGTTTTGTTGGTTTTTAATTATTATATGTTCCTAAGAAAATTTTCTATCATGTGTCCTTGCTTACAAAGTTTTTAACTCCTTGAAACTGATTTCTCAAAGTCCGTTTTATAGTCTCAGTATGCTTAGGGGTTGAGGAACCTGGGGGGGAAATTCGTGATCTGCATGGCAGAGACGAGATGTAACACGTGGCCCGACCTCTGTTCTCTGGGAACACTGAAGACGCTTTGGTCTTGATGCTGAACCCAAAATTCAAGGAGCACAGTGCAAACCGACCACTGCCACCCGCAGGCCCGGGGGAGGGGCGGCCCCGCAGCTCCACCAGGCTTCTCTCAAGGTCCACCTGAGAGGAGGAATTGCGAGGAAAGCTGTCCAGGGGACACGCAGTCCATTCCCGACTTCCAGGACTCAAAATCCCGTGCTGAGATCAAGCCTTTCTGCTCGAAGCCTGCACGTATTAGTCACAGTTACACTGGTTAGGTGGCCTACAGAGGAGTCCCCAACCCCCAGGCTGTGGACCAGTCCTGGTCCCTGGCCTGTTAGGAACCAGGTCGCATAGCAGGAGGTGAGCAGCGGGCCAGTGAGCGAAGCTTCATCTGTATCTGCAGCTACTCTCCAGCGCCAGCATCACCGCCTCAGCTCCACCTCAGGTCATCAGGCATTCGAGTCTGATAGGAGCACAGGTCCCCAGTGCCAAAGAGGGTGGGGACCGCTGAACAAAGACCCACTGCCTGGAGCTCATTCTGAAGTCATACCCTCAGCTTCTCCAAGAGTTGCTGTGAGAAATCTGTCACTGCATTTCTGCTAAAACGCTACAGGATTGCCCACGACGGTGCTGCGTCTGCCCCAGAGCCTGCCCACGGGGGACCGTGTTCAGTGAGCAGAGCCAGGATGCAGCTCCGCTTCTCGGCCAGTTACTGCACTTCCCTTTGAGAACTCAGAAACTGCTCTCAACTCCCAGAGAGACCGGACAAGTATTTTCAGAATGATGCTGACCCTTTACATCTGCCATATTTCTATTCTGCATTTCTTGTCCTCAAAGTCTATTTTTACTTCAATATTTTACTTTAGTACATATTTTTATAAGACCCATCTAAATCCATTTTTAAAAAGTCAGGCCTGTGGTCTTTGACATTCTTTCGTACGTGATAAACATAATCTTTACCAAAGTTCAAATATTTGTTTACAAATAAACAGAATTAATAAAGTATCTTGTTATACCAAATAGCAAGTGGCTCTAAAGGTGATGCAGTTGGCCCCTGAACACAGGTTTGAACTGCACAAGTGCACTTGTATGTGGATCTGATCCAGAAATATTGTAAACGTGTTTTCTTTTCCTTATGATTTTCTTCATAACATGTTCTTTTCTCCAGCTTACGTTAGTGTAAGACTGCGGTATGTATACATACAACATGCAAAATATGTGTTCATCACCTTTCTGTTATCGATAAGGCTTCTGTCAACAGCAGGCTATTCGCAGTTAAGTTTTTAGAGAGTCAAAAGGTAAACATGGATTTTCAACTACACTGGGGTCAGAGCCCCTAACCTCTGCATTGTTCAAGGGTCAACTGCACTTAACGATAATTAAGTCCTCTTAATTATCATTGTGATTATACCGCTCTTGGGCTCAGTCATCGTCGTCAGTATTTCCGACATGGTGCCCATGCACTCGTCATGATAAAGCCACAAGGCTGGAGGCCCTCTGCACACGGGAGATCGAGCCCACTGAACATGAGAATCCTGTTCATCCCACAAAACAAAGTGGGAGAGTAATGTGAGCCAGGGCACCCACAGGCGGGGGTCAGAGAAGGGGATGAAACTGCGAGGACGCCCCTCTGCCCGCCTTCCCTGCCAACTCCCAACCACTACATCAACTCTCCCACCCGTGTGGCTAATTTTTGATAGAGACATAAATTGATTTATCTGTCCAAGGAAACATCTGTGTCCTGAAGTCATAACTGCAATACATTTTAAATTGGTGGACGAGTAATTAAGACGCTTTGAGCAAACGCTACTTGCCTGGTCCAACCTACAGGTCCACTCTTTCTCCACAAAACAGACAATGGAGGGGGGGGCT